TAACAAATTCGTTACACTCAATAATATATAGATTACTCTCTCTCTCTAAATGAAAAGTTCCTCGGTGGGTCAGCGGTAAGTTTGTAGGCTTACAATGCTTCCCTGCGGTGGACAGAGTACACATAGCCCATTCTTAGCTTTGAATTAGAAAAACAACAACATCTGGCTTAAAATAAACAAACTAATTAAAAATAAGGAAAAATACCTATACTGAATCGACCCAAGAATATTTTTCTGAAACCATCATGCAGAGTAAGACGAATCAAAAATAATTAGTGGGCAATTTGACAAAAGCAGGAAGTCCAGTTGCTAAACATTTTTGTCTGAAAGTATAATTACTGGTTGAGTAAAAATAGGTTTGTTAAGGTTGTTTAACTTTGGTATTGTTTCTCATTATTTAAAATTATTTTAAGCATGTAATTATCTTGCAAAATTAATTACAGTTCGAAGGCTTAAGAACAGTTGCCTGTAAACTGGCAGTTAACCAAACTTATAACACAAATGTTTTATTAAATGTATTACAGTTGTTTTGGGGGTTTATTTTATTAATACACATTTTGTAGTAACTCCAGACAAGTACTTACTAAACACTGTTGTTGTTGTTGTTGTTTTAGTGTAAAGTTGTTTTATGGGATACCTGCACTCTGTCCACCGCAAGGAACTGAATCCCGTATTTCAGTGTTGTGAATCCGTAAATTTACCTCTGACCCACCGGGAGCATTGACTAAAACAATGGGGGAAGTTTAAAAATATATACAAATCATAAAATTATTGCTTTGCTTAAAATTGGTTTGGTTTACACATCAGATTTCTATTCATATACACAGAATATGTCTTAGAGTTCTAAAGTATCACTGTTACATTTTCATTTTTGATTTTCACAATAAAAGGGAAATTTTTGAATTAAGTTGACAAATTAAATTAACGATTTGAAGATATATTTTATCAGCACGTTAGTTGCTCTTCAAAAGAACGAACTTTCATCTCTCCTGCTCTCTTGGAGCTACTTCTTCCATCATCGATCGTGTTCAGTCTGATGGCTACAATTACGTACTATTGCTTGACGCCGAAATTTCCATTGTATCAAGGTTCTGCGAGTGGAAATGGAGAAAATCTTAGATCACATATATTTACAAACTTTCCATAGACGTCCAACTTATGTGAATGTCAGCTTTCCAAACTACATTGAAACAATTAAAGGCATAAAAGACCATCGGAATTGCAACGAGATACTTTAAAGATATGCGGTATGCTGTCAAACAATATTGCTGTAATTCTAATTACTTCTGCCATTTTTCTCGTGAAAACCTGTTGCTTTCGAGGTTGGGCTGGAATCTTGTGAAGTATTGGCTTGTGAACCTTCGTTAATTCAAAATTGTTTGTCAAATCTTGTTAACAGTATTAGAAGATATGCCTAGATTCATTGCGATGGCATTTTTAGGAGAGTTATGTTAGATAATCATAGCCTTCACTTTGCGGTTGAGAGCATTCCTTCAGATTGGTTCAATGTGGATTTCGGAGCCTGTTGCTGTCACAAACTTTATGTTGCTATTTTTTTTCCACTTCCATGGAGAACATTAAAGGCTTTTTCTTTGAAATATTGCCTTATGCCTCTAAATCACTTATCAATCTCGTTGTATAACTGTTCTCTTCAGAAATTCTTTTTGTATCCTTCAAGCCATAAGTCAACGCGTGGTGATATTACAATGGCAAATGATCAGGAATTTGTCATAAATCAACTATACAGGTGCAAAAATACATTGTCTGTGTGTGCCACCACGGCTCCCATCTGTGGCGACACGTCACCGCATTAGTTCATGTACGAAAAGACAAACTAAAATGATTTTACTTTTGCTGTTGGATTAACAGCATTGCTATCCTTCAGAAATAAATCACGTGTCACTGAAGAGTTTCTGGGCAAGGTTATTTTAATTGGTGGCTTAGGTGTTCACTAGATCGAGTTATGAAATAAACCTCTTGTTAAAAAGTAAAAAAAAAAGCTCCACGGTGGGTCAGCAGACCTGCAAAGCTAAAATCCGGATTCGATTCCCCTCGGTGTACACAGCAGATAGCCTAGTGTGGGTTTGCTCTAAAACAAACAAACGTTAAAAAATGTTGTTATTTTAAATGCAATACGAAGAAACAAATATAATGTAAAAATTATAAAAGTACTGAGAAACGTGTTTTATTAAGACTTTTTTTTCTTGCAGTATATGCGTGTAAGTGTGTCTGTGTGTGCATGTGTGTAAAAATGTGGTACACTCTACAGAACACTGCGTTGTTTTTTTCTATTTTAATGCATATCATTTGTCCTTGTAATTATCCAGTGAAATCACACTAGAGTTAAGATATGAATGTAAAAAAACTAATATAAAGTTCAATTTAAATGTGGGCTGGACGTGGCCAAGTGGTCAGAGTGCTCGAGTATGCATGCGAAAGTTCGCGGCTTGTTGCCGCAACAAACGTATTCCGTACTGCGGAGTCGTAGGTGTATTATATAAATGACGGTCAAATAGCACTATTCTGTCAGAAAAGAGTAGCATACGAGTTGGTGGTGGTTCCTGTTGACTAGCTACCTTCACTCTTTTCTGTCAGTCCAAACTTATGGAGGGGGCCCGGGCCTGGCATGGCCATGTGGTTAGGGCGCTCGACTCGCAATCTGAGGGTCGCGGGTTCGAATCCCCGTCCCACCAATCATGCTCGCCCTTTCAGCCGTGGGGTCATCATAATGTGACGGTCAAGCCCACTATTCGTTGGTAAAAGAGTAGCCTAAGAGTTGGTGGTGAGTGGTGATGACTAGCTGCCTTCCCTCTAGTCTTTCACTGCCTTTGTGTATCTTTGCGCGAAATTCAAAAGAAACAAACAAACTTATGGGGGGTATGCATATGTAGTTCTTTGGGTAGCTTCGCAATAAATTTCTGAAATAAACACTTTAAACCAAAAGACATTTTGATGTTATTTTCCTCTTAGGAATACCTGGACCTAAGCCCTATACAAAATGAGAATGATAGTACCACCCTCTGGACAGAAGATGAGCACTTGGCACCTTTGGCGACATCTAGTGTAGAAAAGCCAGGTATTTAATATACTGAATCTACTTTACTTTGTTTACAAGTAAACTTTATAAAACAAAAGCAGAATCCAAATACAAAATTTTCATTTATAACTGGATATATTTTGTCTTAATTCAAATTATACAGCCACCCCCCAATGTTTCCTAGTATTTACTCTCACATTACAAAAACTAATAATAATAAATATGCCATCGATGGTAAAGTTTATTTATATTAAACTTTTTTCTCTAAGTTTAGTATTAACTGGTTGGAACAAAAACAGCGACTCAAATATACAGTAAAGCTTTACATTAAACGAAATATATATTTAATATTTAAGAAATATTATCTAACTTGGAATATGTATTCAATCATATTAATTTAATATTTTGTTAACTTTCCTTCGTGAAGGCGGAAGGACAATGCAATACAGTAACGTGTGCCAATCCCATGCAGCTGATGAACCATTTTCTATGTCAGCCAGCCAAGAATCCGAAGCCATAGAACTCATTTCGAAACCATCTGACAATGTTGTATCCGAAGCAACAGTGTAATTCTTCTATTCGACTATTACAGTATGATATTGGAAGAAGTATTTGAAATTTATGTCTAAATACAAATTTACGAAACAAAAACGCACTCGTCATAAATGGACATTAAGTTTTGAAAACGATTTAATGTTGTTGCAAAACTCGTGTTTTCAACATTCATTAAGTCGAGTTGATTAGGATAAGGAGTTGTTTTTAAAGTTTAAAAAGAATGAACAATGTTGTAGAAGCTGGTCATTTTGAAATGAAAGCTATGATATCAAAATGTTATTATATTTACAAAAATAAGTTATTTCCACATTTTTATTAAATTGGCTTTATAAATACAGCCATTTTCTTCCTGTATATGTGTGTGTGTGTGTGTGTATTTATATACATACGTATGTTCATGTTTAGGCTTAGATAAAAATCATAGTCATCTGTTAATAACTTAAAATATATGTAAATATCTTTAGTGTAAAGATCCACTTAGTGCCACTGAGATCTTATCTGAGCTTTTAACGATTTAATGTATACATTATTGTTAAAAAAATGCGCTAACAACATGAAGTACTATTATACGTAAAGGTATTTGTGTTTTGAAAATAAATTTCACATGTGTTATACATATATATATATAACAAGAGCCAAAGGTGTACATAATAATGTAGGTATTTAAGATTTTGAAACGATGGAAAATAAACCACTGAAAACAACAGTACGAAATTAAAAATCACTTTGATTTTTATTACAACATTATGTTTATTGTTTAGAACAACTACATGTAATGAATGAAAACCCTAATCAAGAATAATTTGTTGTCGTCTACGGCCTCATTTCACGATGAAACACGGTAGTTTGATATAAGCCTAATACAGCTGGGTTTGACAGTGAAACCACTTAACGTTGAGAGCGTGTCCAAACACGCTAGATAAATAAAAGTACAATACAGTCTAGTTTTACAATGAAACACGGTAATCCAATTTAAGACTAACAGAACTTTCACAACAATGCAGTGTAAACTTAATACGGTCTGGTTTCACAGTGAAATATTTCATGTAAGTCTAATACGTCCTAGTTTCTCAGTGAAATACACTTGATCAATATAAGCCTTACACGACTTAGCTTCATACAACAGTGCTGGCGAAAGTCAAGTACGCCTTACTGTTTTACTTAACAACCTATGTATTAAATCTCATAATACTGGCACTTCTTACACCATTAAAAATCGGATTTCGATACCCATGGTGGGCACAGCACAGATAGCTCATTGTGTAGGTTTGTGCTTAACTACAAACAAACGAACTGACACTTCTTAAGGCTTCACAGAATAAAATTTGCTTGATCTTGTGTGGAATATAATAATATAGTATTTTGTGCTGTAATTTAGTAATATTAATTATTTATATCAACATCCACCTTAATCGCAAAAAAATACAAACAACTTCCATCTTCTCAAAGTCAAGTTGTAACATAATGCTTCCAATATTTGTAATTAGCTTTTACATTCACTAATCTTGTTATGCTCTGTTTACTTATCCGTGAAGGAGATAAGGATATAATTTATTTTATTTTATTAACAACTAAAGTGTTTCGTTATAATTACTGTCAGCATAGTAACGACAAAGCATGGGTGCTACACTACAGTCTAAATGTCTGTTGACTTCTGGACAGACTAAAGCCTATTTATGTATATAGTAATCGTTACATGAAAAGTAGTATCAAGTTAAGTTGGCAATTGTTATTTGGTGTTGAAGATTTAAATATTAATAATTTAAAGAGTTTCAACGTTTTACTGTCCTCCTATATCTGATATTGTACAAATAGTTAGAAGTTGAGACTGTATATACTAATGCTATACATCAAATAAAATTTATGTTCAAAAGAACTTTGTACGTCTTATTAAAAATATATTTTTCACAACAACACGTGAAAAAGCATCATGTTTGCATTATAGGTTGGGAATGACAGACATAAATAAATTCAGTTTGTTTTTAACGTTCAAGTTTTGTATTACTCATTTAATTGAAGATATTTTTCATTTTCGCGAATCACTGGATGAAAAATGTAATTTACGATAGCGATTATACGAAAATAGACACTGAAATAAAAATATACTAGAAGAAATAGAGAATATATTTGTATTATTATAAGTATTTTACATCGATTATGTTAGGAAAACCAAACAGCACATGGTAAAAAGCTATTAATAAAACTTTTGAGTCGGTGATACATTTTTATGTATATTTGTGTGGTAAATGTGGAGAAGAACGTGTTAATGTTTCACAACAGTTGAGATGTGAAGTGTGGGAAAAAAATCTATTATTATTAAAAAAACAATCTTGGCTATATGTTTTTTCCCCTGGATTTTACCGGGCGTGACTGATGTTTATGAGTGGATGACAATAATAGAATAATAGAATTTATAGCTTTAAAACAATGTCCAATCAGACATAGGATGATTACTCATTTGATCTGAAATGAAGATGATCATTCAGCTTATTTCACTTACATTGATCTCAAAATTTTTATCCCATTTGGTACTTCGAAGTAAGTCATAGAATTTAGGTGCTCCAGATTGGTTATGAATCGTGACTAGATTTTAAATAAGATAGACATCTTAATGGTTCATTCATGTGAAAATCCATCGAACGAATGAAAGATGGCCAATCTGAGCAGGTTGCAGTTAACTGTCTAAAAAGTGTTTCATAATGTTGTTATCAACATGTGGAACCGCTTTTAAATTAATTGTGCAGTTACTTGGACACCTGGTGAAGGCAGACCATTATCTTCAACAGTTACTTAGACACTTGGTCAAGGCAGACCATTATCTACAACACAAACAGGTGATAAATCAATTCTGGCTCGCCACAGTCAAGATTAATCAGATGTTTGCAGCATTAATTGTCAGTGTAAGACGGTCCGAAATAGACTACAACAGACCAACCTGTATGCCACACGCTTGTGAGATACGTTCTGCTCACAGTAAGGCAGGAAACAGCTAGACTGCAATGGTGCTAATAGCATGTCCAGTGAACCAAAGACGTGAGGAGCAAAATTATCTTTACAGATGAATTACTTTTCACCAATAAAACCACACACAATAAAGACCACATCCTACCACCCTTTGTGTGTCTTCAAGTGATTCCGGACATTAAAGATGTTCTAGAAACAGCTAGTTCGGAGAAGTGGTCGAAGACGCCTCAGGAACTTATCAACGCTCTAAACATCTGTGCCAGACTGCCCTTGCTGTTTGTAGTTTGTATGGAAGTAAACAGACGTGAATCATAGAGATGTAACATACGTCTACCGCATGTTCATTTATGAGAATAGCCTGAATGACTAATCATTTATATTTCAGATCAAATAAGATATCATCATTTGACTGATTTGCGTAGAAGTTAACTAAGGGAGCTGATTAACAGTATCATATGACATTGGTTTTTTCTTCGTCACATCTAAATCATATATAATTCCAACTGTATTTTATTTGTTGGATGCAATGCATCTTATTCAGTTTTATTGTTGAAAGAATTGCATGTACTTATACATTATACAAATTGTATATATATATAGAGAGAGAGAGACTATTTATTTTGTGATAATTTCATAACAGTGAGATTTCCAACTATTTTAGTGTATTTAATCTAAGATGTTCAACAAAGTGAAATATTATGAAACATTATGTCTAACTAAAAACTGAAAAAAAAGAAAACGGTCATCAAGGCTAACTGACCAGTCGTGACTACAGAGAAAGTCGAAAGTTTTAGCTCACGAAAGCACTAAAAAATACAAACTTACCACACAAAAATTGTGTCTCTAAAAATTATGGGTGAGTAATCACATCCTTCAAGATATCCATTAAAATCACAGTAGTTAACAAGGATAGTATGAGTGACAATTCAATTTTGAATTAAAATATATTTTAGTAAATTCGCTTTCATCTGCTTTAGACATAATAATACTGTATTTGAAAGCTATGACAAGAAAAATATAAAAGTTCGATTTCTTGAAACGATTTGCAATGAAAGAACACATAAATGTTTGTACTTTACTATGGCGATTTGTATACTAGAACATTTTAGTCGTTTCCTCAAAAAATGTTCTATGGTAAAATTCTTAGTTTTTCACAATAACTGTTCGCGGAAATTCTATGCAATTATTTGTGATACCATATTTAATAGCTTTTCATGTTCTAAAACCTGAGATTCTGGTTAACTTAAAATGCTTACTTTTGATTAGATTCGGTTAACGTTTCACTACACTTTTTAATTTGCCCGGCAGTAATACCAAATTGCATATCAGTAGTTCAAAAAGTAACTTGGGTGATACTTTTGTCATTTATGAGTTAATTTCTGACGTACAGTGTCCTCTAATAATCCGACTACGAAGTATATGGTTGTTTTTTAAACAAATCGAACTGTCAGTGTTATGAAATTATCTGTTCAAGAATAAATGCGCTTAACAAGTAATTTGGTTACAATAAAACTCATGAAATAATGGGTTACTGCTAATGCACCAAAAATGTTTTTGTGTATATATATATGTATATACTTTACATCAAATCAACAAGTTTCACAAGAGTTTAGGCCTGGGGTTATCATACTTGCACTGTGAATTCAAGGATTGCTGATTCGCGACCTGTTGGCGCAAAAACGCGCTCTATATTTTGAGGCCATGGATTGGTTATAAGAGTGACAGTCAAACTCCACCATACAATAAGAATAGAGTAATCTAATACTTGGCGAGGAGTGCCGTTATATTTGTTGCTTTTTGTTTAATCTGTCAGATAAAAATTAGTGACAGCTATGGGCAGATAGCCCTTTTGTATAGCTTTGCACAAAATTATAAAATAGAAGAGTTTTCGATGCTCTCATTGTCACCACCCGACACCAGAGGGCGAGTTTTAACAACGAGTGTGCCTAGCTAGAGGATTAAGAAATTTTTAATCTAATATATTTACTGAAAGTTTAACAGTAGCGGGGCCTTAGGTATTCCTTAACATAATAACATAATCCAATCTTACATCAACACATAGTATGGGACAACTTTTTGTGTGTCTTAAATAGTAAAAGTTGCAATATGGCAACAACAAAACGGGGATATGACGACGAAAACAACATACACAATTACTAGTATCATAAAAATATTGACTCATATTCATAGAAATATAACGTATTTGAGTGGGGGGTTCCATAAAATTTTCTGTCAAGGTAACACTGTAATACTTTGTCATAGTCAGGGTTTTAAATGTCAGTAAGCTTGGATTCTTCACAGTTGGTGTCTGTGACTTGTTGGCGATAAATTCGAACAATAAACGAACAGCACACAATCCACTTGTTTTAAAATAATATATTCAAAACAAGTCAAATGTGTGTACAAAAATTCTTTACATTATAGGATATCACAGTTGTATCTAAAATAACAAATAATTCTCTTTTTCTTCTGTTATCACAATATAATTAGTGATAATTTCACTTACGTTACACCGTGAGTTACCACAGTTGTATACAGAGCTTTTAATAATTCTTTTTTACGTCAAAAGTCCACACAACCTAGTTCAGTTACTTTAGAACCCAATTAACAAGACGAATTATTTTTCTTTATTCTGTTTCTTGCTGCACAATCTGTGATAGATTTACTTACGTTTCCCCATTGGTTCCCATCGAACTTTAAATAATTGTCTCCTTTTCGTCAAAATCCGCACAGGCGGGTTCAATTACCTTAGAACGCCCTTTGACAAGACAAATTATTCTCCTTATCTCCGTTAAACTATAAAACTCACTTTAATTGAAATATCGCCCATTACAGTTAAACTAACAATCACGCAGACCAACTTAACTTTCATTAACTGAACGTTTTCTTCTTAACTTTAACTTTTTTCTGGTTACCACAATTGTATCCAGATCATTAAATAAGTGTCTCTTTTTTTTTTCGTCAAAAGTCCACACAGATTGGTTCAGTTACTTAAGAACTCAATTGATAAGACAAATTGTTTTTCCTATCTCTGTTGTTACAATACAGCTGTGAAACACACTATAGAAACCACCTGTTAAGGCTAATCACTCACACACCGCTAACTTCACATTTTCTTTCATTAACTTTTTTCTAACTTAACTTGCACTCACTATATTTATACTTTTACTAACAGAGGCCTAGAACTTTCTACAAACTAGGAGACGCTATGATGTAACAATACTCACATAGCGACAAAAACTTAGAGGTTTCGAGAAAGATGAGGTCAACAATACTACAACTGAACTACACACACAACGCACGACTCTTACCGAGTTACGTAATGAAATTTGTCATAACTATTACTTTTAAAATAATTAACTTTTAACACTCTTGTTATGAAAACTAAATTTTTTATTAAATATTAAATCACTAAATAAATTAAATAATAACTATTAAGCTAAACAATCTTGTATATCCAACAGTCGTACGCCATGAAATGGTTCCGTGAAATAGAAAAAAAAAACCTAGAAACTGTAAATCGCATAGCTACATCGTGATGATATTCGTGAACAATAATTGTTCGTAAAAACGTAAAATGTATCTTTGAAAGAAATACAATACCGCGTTAAGGATATTTGAGCTTTGCTCAAACATTAGATCAGTTAATTCAATAAAAAGCAAGATAAATATATAAACACCCAGTAAGACGAGAACATGTAAAAACTATAAATAATAAATTCTATAAACTTATTACAGGTATTTCACGTTGTAGAAAACTCCTTTTCTAGATTATCTACTCGTTGAATGATAATATTCAATAACATGCTGAACATTAAAACAAGTTTACATACATACGACCTTGTTGATATTGTATATCCCCAAAACGACAATATCTTTTAAT